AGAAGTACATAAAACTTTTAGAGAACATCCAAAGGAGAACTATGAAGATGGTTAAAGGTCTGGAGGGTAAGGCATATGAGAAGCAGCTGTGGGCCCTTGGTTTGTTCAGCCCAGAGCAGAGCAGGCCGAGGGGAGGCCTCATGGCGGCCTGCAGCTCCCTCACAAGGGGAGCGGAGGGGCAGGCGCTGAGCTCTGCTCTCTGTGGAAAGTGACAGGACCCAAGGGAATGGCATGGAGCTGGGACAGGGAAGGGTCAGGCTGGGGGTTAGGGAAAGGTTCTGCACCCAGAGGGTGGTTGGGCACTGGGACAAGCTCCCCAGAAAAGTAGTCATGGCACCAAGCCAGGTGGAGTTCAAGAAGCACTTGGACAACACTGTCAGACATATGGTCTGAGTTTTGGGTGGTCCTGTGTGGAGCCAGGACTTGGACTCAATGATCCTTGTGGGTCCCTTCCAACCCAGGATATTCTATGATTCTATATACTTTGTTGTGAATTGCAGAGCAGTCATCAGCTGCTGCAGGTGAAATTCTCAATCTTGATCATGGATGACACGCTAAGCAGGAGGCAATATAAGGGCTCATACACATAAGAAATGAACAGTTTTCTCTTGAGAAACAGCTGCAGCTCTGTCTAGACTGAATTGAAGTGAGGAAAGGCAAAGTGTGTTATTAAAGCACCTTTCATATCAGTCAGTCAGAAAAGGAAAATGCCAATGCCACTTGGGAAAATGAGGTGTTTCCAGGTACCTTGCTTTCCCTAATCATTCCAGCACTTCATCATCCTGAAGTATGACATCAGAGAGGGATATAGCATTCACTTGTCACTTGAGGGAGAGACTGTTATTCTATCACATCTGGATATCCAAATGACTCCACTATTAGTGGTTAAAACTTTTTATTCATGGACATAAAAGACAAAAACCCTTCAGTGCCTTTATGGACACATGGCCAAAACCATCAACAATGGCAGATACACAGGCAATTGTTTGTTTCCCAAGTCTGGAACAGCCCCAAACACAGCATTTCTTTGGCATATGCCTACAGGAGGTAGAATTAAGATCCTATTTGCCTCTTAAGTACAAAGGATCTTGAGCTTAGCATCTCTGTTAGATATCCAAACACCAGCGTGTACTTGTAAAATAAATGAAAGCCTAAAATTGTGGGGGGAATGGGCAAGAATCATCATTTATCTTGCTGTATATATTACTCAATGTCAAAATGTATAAATAAAGTTAGTATTTTAGAAAACCATTAAACATTCACTAAGTATGGCAAATCTTCATCAAGCAGATGTGCTGTTATGAATTATAGCATTTATCAGTCTACTGATGATACAGTTTACTGTAAGTCTGCTCTTTCGAAATGAAACCATATGTTGAATGGGAGAGAGTGTAAGATTATTGTAAATGGAGATAAGGCTGCTTACCAAGCATGCTGATGGGCATTTTGTGGATGAACTTTCTTTTACAATATTGTTAAAGTATATATAAATTCTAGTTCTATGCAAACAAACTTACAGACACCAGGTAGAAAATGATTTAAGCGTCAGCTGGATGTTCTGGATGGTAGTGGGACCAATAGTGCCAGGTGCCAAACACGCACCACACGCACCACAACAAAACCTTTTATAGTTCCCATATTCAGATAGCTGAATTAGAGTAGTTTCTAAGAGCAAGAAGGGACAGAAGCTGACTTTTTTTTTTTTTTCTTTCTTCACTGCTCTTGGAAATTTTGTATTACAGAATGTGTTGAATATTGGAACACATGAGGAAGTCACATTTGCAGCTATTCCCTAAGAGTTACAAAAGTTTAAGTCTAGAAAATGTCATTCTGATGGGTCCTGTGAGCTGTAAGTCATTCTGCAGTTTTGGCTTGTGACTATGTCTGTCAGTCGCCTGTCTTGCTGATTGCCTGCAGTGCATCCCTGGAGTTGCTGTCTCATTTGAGAGAGAGCAAGTCCTAATAGAGGACAATAAAGCATTTGAGCTACAACTCCCATGGGAAAGGGAAGCATTTCTAAAGTGAAGCTTTTCAGCTTTTGGCTAAAGGACTAGTTCTGAGTATTTAATTGATTAATTTAAAAGAAAACAAGGTTTTCCCCAGAAAGCAGGCTTTTTATTCAAAAATGTGCATTTAATAAAAATCTAATTTTCCGCCAAAACTGTTTCAACCAATACTGGGAATTATATTCCCTGACAAAACTACTTGAAAATGAATTTTATAATGTAGAGTAAAATCCAGACAATTTTTTCCAGATGACTTTAGTGATGTTATTATTCCTAAGCTAAACATGATAAACCTAGGAAACTCAGAATTAAGCTTAATGAAAATATAGCACATTAGAGATATGGAAAATACAGTGTGTGAGCATGAAAATGACTTTAGTCTCTGCCATCTCATGCTGTAACTTGAGCGTTATGAAAAAACATTATATTTAGTTTGATTTACTCCAGAGCATCTTCAAGCAGCCAGCACATATTGAATAATCAAATACTTTTCAGAAATACTTAGTATTGCCAGAGTAGCACCAGTGTCTAGCCAAGCTCAGCTCTACTGCCCATTTGTCAGCTTCCTTTTGTGCTTCTCTGTGCTTCCCTGTGTCTTAATCTGTACACAACTGTCTTGCAGTTCTACCAGTTTCTTCTACAGTCCTTTCTACATGCACCTATATCTGTGCACCCATAAACCAAATGTGTAAACTCACACTCAGATATAGAAGCATAGATCAATTTTCTACTACCCCGTATTCATCTGGGCATGACTATTTCTTGAGGCTTTTTCTTTTCTTACTCCATTTTTGTGGAATATAATGAGAATAATGAATAGTTTATCAAGAAAATACATGAAATTAATGATGGTTCTGTAATTTCATAACACTACGTTTTCCTTAGGAATAGCATAGCATTAGAAGTTTCTTTTCAGAAGTAACTGCATCGGTTTCAAGGGGCCATTATCCCCACAAGAAAAGGTTCTCTCTTAAGATGGCTCCTACTTCCCAGCATTTCACGGGAATCAGCCTCCATCTTCAACAGGGGCCACCTCCTTTCCTGTCACTGACGGAGTAAGACAGACTCCTCTTACTGCACTCACTTGGTTGATATTAATTTCAACAACTCTGTCCAGAATACCTAGGGTTGGAAGCTACTTTCAAAGAGGGCAGTTGTACCACAGGAGTTTTGATTTTCGGTGAAACGTAGAAAAGAAAAACATTGAATTACAACTGTTTCTGATCTGTCTCTTGACATTTGAAATCCCCGGCTCTGTCTCCAGTGATTGAATGTGGTGAGATGTAGTTAGTAATTTCTACCCTGCTCTCCATAGTATATTTGTAGTTCCATCAGTTACATCTTTAAAATCCAGTTTTCCTGTTCCTTAAATGGGATGCAATATTCTGAAACCTCAAACTTGCAGGATTGGGTGCAAATTCTGTTCTTCCCCTCAGCTGTACACAAAAGAACACTTACAGTAAACGTGTGTGATAATAACTGGATGGAAAGACAGATTTTCACATTGAGGCCTTGCCTTGAGGACTAACCTTTTTACCAAAAAAAAAAAAAAAATAGCAGTGGAGCTGAATAATAACACTTTGTTTTGTCTATTCCACAAGCAAGATTGTTAGAGAACTTAGTAGTAAGTACTCCATTAAGTCACAATTCTGTTCATTTTACCATGCAGTGATTCACAGGCAAAACCTCAAAACGCTCATGGCCATTGACTTTTTAATATAAATAAGCAGTCATTCCAAAGCGGAATGTCTGAGTAATTAAAAATAAACTTTTAAACAAGATCTACTGCACATTTGTAGTCATCTATTAAACATCTTCTTTCATGGTTTCTGTTGTGATTTTCATTTTTGTAACACAACATTTTAAAGCAAAATTTACATTTTGTAACAACATTTTAAAGCTTTATACACTCAGAGGAAAGCCTGCAAGATCAGCTGAGCAGAGGTAAATCACGGTGCTGTAAGAGAACCTAGCAACATAGCACAAGTGGAGATGGGAAAATGATAGCCACATTAAACAGTTTATGAAATGAATTAGAAGCTGACTAAGGCAAAATGTAATTATTGTAGTTGGCCTTTGTCCAGGACATACAGTTTCTAGTAATCAGGTATTCAGTTTCAGCCAAAAATTATTTTTCTTCCTTGGTCCATAAAACAGGAACAAAACTCTTACTGAAGTTAGCAGCTAAAGACAGAAAGGACACATGAGGTTTTATGGCAGAATACTTGCTGAAAGTGATTAAGGAAAAGTTTCCATTCTACTCTGCATCTGTGAGAGTATCCGGGGTTATTCATGTAGCAGGTGCTCAAATGACATCACAGTTAATGTTTAGCATCATTTTCTTATAGGCCAAATCCTTTCACACCCTTTTTAAACAAAAAGTTGGCATTGGACCACACGATATTGCAAAAGAACTCGAGATTATATGTCATTGACAAAATGTCACGTTACTAACAGGAAGCTCAGTAAAATGAAAAAAAAAATAATATATAAATTAAGTGTAATAAAATATCATTGGCAAAAAATCAACATGAGACATGGTAGGCCCGGTCCTGTTATACCTGGTCATGTTCGGGAATCAGCAGAGGTACCTGTGTGTCAAACTATGACAAATAGGAGTGAGAGCACACATGGGCTTTTAAATTCAAAACATACTTAATCAGTTTCGTGTGGAGATACGGACTATACCACAACTGTTAATTGGTTGGGATTGAAATGTAAACAGATTAATTTTGAAGGTATCAAGTGGTGCAGCTAGAGTTTCCAACTGCCTGTTACAGTAACTTTAGAGAAGATCTAGCAAAAGCTGCCTTCTTAAACTTTACCTCATGCATCTCATTAATACAGAATATATATATATATATATAATATATATATATATATATCTTAAAAGATTACCTTTTCATTTTAATAAGTTAAAACACATTCAGGTTCAAAGTAGCCACCACTTCACCAAATTAAGGCAAATACAGTTTTAGACCAAGAACAGAATACCTTTTGTTGTTGCCAGTGTTTTGTTCTCCATTATTAGCATAGCTCTTCACTGTGACTAAATCCTTGTGGTCCCTGTAGACAGAAATACCAGATTCCAGTTAGTAAGTCAAAAAGAAAGAGATGCTACCATGGGATGAGGCTTAAAAGGAAAAGAAAAGAATTAACAGCATTTTCACTGATGTCAGTACAGTGCTGTTTGTTTCCAGGAGACAACTGGAACAAAATCCACTCTTGTTGTACACTACCATGATTTTATTGCAAGCATATTTATTCCTGTTTCATTAAATACCACTGTTAACAGTTGAAGAGATGAAGATGGGTTTGGACAATGGAAATCGCTAAGGGAGCTTCCAAAATGAGATCAAAACAGCACTTATTAAACCTTTTCATTTTCATTATGGTACTTTGTAATCCTATATTTCTGGCAGGTGGCCTGAACAGGATCCCTGTGCGTGCTTGAAACACCTCTTGAAATAAAAGGTGCTCAAGGAATGCATGATGGCCTTGTGTGTTCCATGACTGAGGCAGTCAATAACCCTTCATTTTAGCTTTTTGTTTGTGCCTTAAATAATGGAAAGCTTTTACAAAACCAGACCTATGGGATAGAACAGACAATAAGGAATTAATGCACTGAATACAAGATAGAGATGCTATGATTGCTGAAAAGTATGGTAATACCAACATTATATTAACCACATGGACCATTACTATATCAGAAATATATACCTACCTAATCGGTGAATCATATAAGGTTAGTTCCTCATCATCAGTGAGGCAAATCCTTCACATTCACTTTGTAAAATGAACTTTTTGTCAGGTTTAGTTCTGAGAATAGCCAAACTTTCATGACAGAATAAAAAAGCCAAATGAAAATAAATTGTTTATTAACTTCACTGAAAAATGTTCATATGTCAGTTTTGGTTGGCTTGTAAGAACTGTTTTTTAAAGAATTTTCTGTAGTGTTACAAACTAAATAAGTAAAGGAAAGCACCTTTTCACTCATCTTCAACAACTATCAAACTTTTAAGGTACACAGGTTACATCTGAGCATGTTCTTGCTTCAGCATTGCATAGAGATGTTAATGTGTTGCTGGGCAGTCTGTAAAGTAGAACCAGCTATTTCCTCGCTGAAGTTTCCTTGTCAGCTGTGATCAGGTGAGTATGCAGTTCATCCCTAGTGGACACAAAGAACAATTGTTCTCTGTCCTGTTTTTCAACAAACTTTTGCATACTAGAGTTTTATCTCCATGTCTTCTCTTTGCCAGATTAAACAACCCAGAACATTTATTTCTTACTCACAAGTCAGATTTTGTTGTTCATAACCTTGTTGCTTCCTCTAAACTCACTCTGTTTTGACTGTATCCATCTGGAAAGATAATGATTACAGCTGGACATCATCCTCCATCTGAGGCCTTCCCAGCACCAAGTGCAGCAATCCATACGTCTATGCCTTCCGCACAAAACTCTTACCTATAGCCTCAGTGTGGCACTTCCTGTTTTGTGACAGTTCTATATTGCCACTATCTGTTCAAATATCTTTCTTCCCAAGCACAAAATACCAGTTTCGTGGTCTGAAAATGTGCACTGTGCCCATTTCTGCTTTCAGCATGAACCTCCAGAAATACTTTGCTATAGTTTTGCCTTTACTACCTCCTTCTCATACATTCTAGCTGCAGAATAACTTATTAGAGACGTAAGGATATGTTTAAATATTTTAAAAGCAAATATCATTTGGGAGGCCTGCAATCAGCTTAAATAAACAGCAATTAAGCAATTTACCTCAGCACCCTAGAATACCATCCCTGACGTGACTGTGCACTCAAAACCCAGAGGAACACAAAACCCATCAAACCGCTGTGTCATTGCCCAGCAGCTGGGATGGGGGTACCAAGACATGCTTTTCTTTTGTCTGGTAACTGTCTGGGTTTGTAGTGTGGCGATATTTGACCTTACAAATGTGGCACTGATCCATGCCCCGTAGGCAGTTCACATTATTTTGCGCCTTCTTTCTACATTTACAGTCAATATCATAACGATCTGCTGCTGAAGAACCTTTCTGTGGAAGAAGTCCCCATGAGCCCACAGTGGCTACATGCCTGGAAATAAATGACTGCCAGCATGGTGTTTATAAAGATACAAGCTTCACTGAGGGAAATCATATGAAATCTGGCTCCCTGGGCAGCATTTACTAGTTAGCTGCATGGGATTTGGAGGAGGTGTCACCTTCTTTTTACTCACAGTAATGAGCTCACTCAGCAACAGGATTCTTTCTTATGATGCCAAGACCGTTTATCTCCCTGTATATGTTTTTATAGATATGTATATGCATGTGTGATGATATAAGTTACAGTCAGAGAATTCCAAAGGACCAGAGGTTTTCTTCTTTGCCATATCTGGTTCTGACACCCAGACTACTGGATGCCAGTTCCCAATGCAAACACCAGTTAGTTTCTGCTCCTTCACTCAGTGACTCAGTTTAATAGTGGTTGGTAGCCAGGGTGTATTCATCAGGGTCACATACTTCATCCATCACAACATGGCCCCCAGTCCTTTCCCATGAAGAACATCTTTGTGGTAGCACTAACAATGTCGTCATCAGTGCTCGGGGTACTAGCATTAGGAAACTCCTGTGAGGCCATACAATTTGTTGTCCATTAAGAGGCAGCGAAAGCCTCAAACACTGCACTGCCAGGCGTGCCCTCAGGAGGCTGTGGCACATCAGGGCCAAGCTTCCAGGATATCCAGACTCCTTCCCTGGGCATGCTGTGAAATGACTGCAGCCTGTATTTGCTGCAGATGCAGAACCTGTCAGAGCTCAGGTAGAGAACTGTTTTTTAATGCTTGAAATTTTCAGAATTCCAGCCTTGGAAATAACATTTTCTGCACAGCTCTACTTGGCAATGTAATCATGGTACCTATAAGGCCAGGCCCCTTAAAACTCCTTAAATCCCAGGGGGATGCTGGCCTAATAGTGTAACAAATGCTCTTCCAAGCATGCATCCTTAGCTCCTTTGTAAAATACTGAGGATCACAGAAACTAGAAATCACTTTACTACACAAAGGCATTCTATCAGATCATTCACAAGCACACTAATAGATATTATATTATGTATTATGATTCAAATCCTGTAACTGGCAACAGACCTGGAGAGCCATGTCCTTTGATTTGGCACAAAATTCGTGCAGCAGGGGTAGGAGCCATTCACTGCTGTCACAAACCTGACCCAAAAGCCTCATCGTTGAGCAGTTACTCCAGTTCTACGGTCAATTTAATTCTTGCTTTTCCCATTGTTTCTTTCAACAGAGAGAAGAAGACACCCTTGAGCAGAAAGCATCGTAGTGTTTTGCAAAGATTGTTGAACAAACTCAAACACTATTTTCAGGGATAATCAACTAGGGTTATACTTGATCTTGTTAGAACTACAATTCAGCAATCAGTTCGGTATGCCCTTCCTGTAAATGTTTTTTCACTTCCGATTCTGACAACCTTTACAATTTTCATTAGCCATACTGTACATGGATAAACAGGCACTACGATATAAAATAAACCCAAAATTCAGATTTTACATCAAATTTGGTTAACAAAAGAAGTTAGTAAATATCCACTGCAAAAGAAAAAAGCAGTTATCAAATGAATATTGCATGAAGGAAATCCAATCTCAGTCAAAATAAATATGGCCAATCTATTTGCATTGCCCAAAGTAAGAAACTCAGGAGCTCAAAGGAAGAAAAAACAAATGTCTGAAAAAAAATCATTGGTGTTTTAAGTCCCTGAGGAATTTAGTAACACAGGTGAGGACACAAACAATTCAGTGTCTTAGCCTTTTCTGTTAAGGTAGAAGTAGCTTCCTACTTGCAGCTTACAGACAACAAGGTCAGGGAAATATTAAAGTAGCTTTAATATCTGTCAAGAGTGTCAGCAAAGATGAATATTCTTCACATCTACCTCCCACTTCACTGTTGCATCATGAAATCCTATTTAGCAAGGCAGATACAATTGGATATGGCTTATTAGCTGACCACGAAGCCATATTTTCATCAGGAAGCATTTAAATGGAGAAAGCAACTCATGGATCTCCAGGGGTATGAAAGGCCATGCTGAGTAACTCTGTCTCAGTCCTGGCTATAGGTGAGTGTTTGTTCCCATTTTCACACGAGCTGCTGAAGGTGTATTTCCAGCCCTGAAATACAGCCACTTGCCTCTGACCCTGATGCAGCCTACTGACATTTCCCAAGGAAAGAGCAGCAACAGTCGTGATCTTACTTGGTAGCAGAAGACTAACTTCTGTGGCAGGTTCCCAGCTAAGGTGAGCTGGCACAGTTCTACCAAAGCAGAGCCCAGTTTATGTTGCACCAACTGAGTGTCTGCGCCAGAACATTGGACTCGTGGCCCACTCTGCCAAAAGTCCAGCTGCAGTCCTGATGCAGTTGGCATGACTGCTACTCGTGTTGCTTTTGCTGACCAGGCCAGTGCTTTGATCTCTACAATCAGAGGGACGTTTGCAAACAGATTTGACATATGTTTCTAAAGCACAGGAGAAAGTTGTCATTCCAATGATCTTCCAGTGGCTGATTAAAGCGAGTAAAACAGCTGGATGTGTTTGACTATGCTTTGTCTCTTAGGCAACTAGAAGAGGTGCAGGCAGGGAAAAGGAATGAAATGCTGATGAAATAAAGTAGCAGAGAACAAGTGAATGCCATAAATACCGCTCAGCTGGACTAGAATATCAACATCTGCTGTATTTTTCAAAACGGGTATTTATATATATATTTCACTCCCAAGAAGAAGGAACAGTATTGCTAGACAGAAAATACAGACTCCACACTGATGCCATATTTTCTCCTCTGAATTTTGGCATCACATGCAGAGTTAATACCAGAAATCTTGTTGTGGCATACCTTTGAATCCATCACTCTTAAAGCTATAATTTATACATATATACAACTTGTCCACACTAAAGAATCGTAGCCAGCTTGAATTTGGTCTACAAAATATTTTAGTGTGGGGAGACAACCAAGCCTAACAAATCACAGCAAAGACCTGATTCACCTTAGCCCAGGAGGTTGGTTAAAGAGCTCAAGGCTCATCACCAAGGCTCAGCTTCCTTGCTTTTGAAATCAGAAAAGTGCATTAAGCCCACTTTTGCAGCCCTTTGTAACTGCCCGTAGAGTTATCCTATTTTCCTTACTTCTCTTTCTGGGCATTCCAATCCACTCCTTTCAACACAGGCATATCAGCTTGGTCTTGAAAGCCAGCCATATTAATCACAAACTCAGATCTGATCATCACAGTTCCATCCAGAATTCCAGGACTTACCTGTATAGCTCTTAAAAAAAAATAGTATCCTAAACTTGATTTTCAAGTAATTTGAGGCTCGTGGGGAACTCACATCATCTGGTCATCCAGTTTGCACAGTAACTCTGGATCCACCAGCAAGTCAACCGACCTCTTTGAAAATCTCGGACCCTGCTGCCTTGGGTCAGGAAAGCTTGTCGCTGTAGGAGGCTCTGCCGGTGGAACAAGGAGAATTTCAACGACAGTGCTGTGTTAAATATAGCAAGGCTAGGTGTTTAAAAAGGCATTATTATTGCCTGTGAGCTTTAATGGATTCCTAATTAGATGTGCATGCCAAAAATCAGAAGAGTATCTGATGTCTGCCTCTACTGGTGATTTTATTAGCAAGAAATGATGTTTTAAAAACATTTCTTTGCACTAAATTTAACTGAATATCTGCTTCTGCTTTTAATAAATGGTGATTCCAAGGTGAATCAATATTCTCTTCACCCAAGGAGATCTTTAAAACAGCTTTACTGTGAAACCCCAGCAAGTGGCCAGCTTCATAGCATACTGCTCCAAAATACCTATCCTTTAACAAATGCAATTTCAGAGAAAGAGCTTAAGCTGCCTTGAGAACTAGTACTGCTGGAATTGTGATCAGCAATGACCTGAAAAGCTTCTCTGGATTGGGAGGGAACAGAGGAAAGCACAGCTGAGCCCCAGGTCCTGAAGCAGCACAGCCTGTTTTCTCTCATTCTCTCCACGGCCCACAATAATTTTTGAGCCCATTAGTCATCTCATGTGACTGACGGCAGAGATGTCACTGATAATTCTGTTCCCAAAGCTTTCAAGGAAAAAACAACATTCGGGTAGAGAAGGGAGAGTCAGCTCTCAGTTCCCAGCTGATGGAAGAGCTGACACGAGATCCCTTTTATTAGAAACCAGAAAATCTATCTGGAAGAGAAACCGTAACTTCCTGAAGTGCAGGAAAAAGATTCAGGAAGGTCTACCCCTATTTGAGCACCACAGTCAATCAGCCATGAGGAACTAATCCATAGGCAATCAGGCATAATTAGGTTGAGAGCTCAAAGGTCAATAAGCACATCAGAACGAAGCTTTATTTAATTACAGAGGATGAATTCAGCCTCATACCAGGGAAGTACTGAAAGAACGTAAGCAAATATCGAAGTGCGTAATCATCTATCTTAAGTCACGTCAAATAAAAGCTCTGTCAATAGTTACAGGCACGTTACACTGTTTTGAAAAACAAAACTCTGCTTTTATTTCACCTCCTTCACTACCGCCCTTTAACAGTCCCCCACCCAACCTGTCCTTGCCGCAGGAAAAGGGGCAGATAAGCATGCCTGGTGTTTGAAGGACTAATGAATGCTAACACAGGGGAGACCCAGCCCTGCTTTCTGCCCGTGCCATTTTCTTCTTGTGCTCTGTATCTCAAACTGAGGGTTCTTTCTTCTCTCTGACACGTGACGAGGCTTGGCTATAATTAAAACTAACATTCCTATGACTCCTATTTTTCAAAGGCTCCCAAGCTATTTGTCAGGGCTCTGCTCCATGGAAACCTGTCAGTCACAGAATTCCTGCTATGGAAAATTTCCCTATCTACTGCTCCACAACTCCAGAGAGTTTCTGAAGGTAAGAACAGAAAGTACAACACAACTACCTCTCCCTTTTGGCATCTGGCAAAGGTTTCCAGTCCCGAGGCTAACAAGTGTTTCCCAGGTCATATATACGGGAGGTACAAGGCTCTCTTTGCTTGGAGGTGCAGATCTCATCGCAACTTCCTCAAGCTGTTAACTCTTGGTGTAACAGCACAGATAATGGCAGTCAAGCAAGCAGACTGGCCTCTAAGGTCAGAAGCACAAACAGCTTGCTCCTTTTCTCCTTGCCATTCAAAATGATTTCCTAAGGTATTTTTGGAGGAGGAAAAATGCAAGCAAATATACCCAGATACATGAGAGGTTGCAGCCGATTTATCCCAGCGTTGTATTCAATGCTAGTAGACAACACAGAAATCCAGGGAGCTCCAAAAGCTCCATACCATACATGTTGCAAGCAAATGTAGCTCAGGAATGCAGAGCACCAGACATGATCCGAGTGCTAGGACTGAAAGCCTTCTGCTTTTTCAGCTAGATCTTTAAACTCCGAAAGGGCAGGAGTATTGCTGGTCCCAACACCAGATAAAGAAATGGGAAACATTACTAGGTAATCAGAAAGTTAGTTGCACAAGTAGACATCATTTAGAAGACACGCTCATGCTTCAAGAGCAAGAAGAGCACTCTGCAGCGAAATAAAAGGAAGGAAGAATTTGCACAGTTAGACATAGATGAAAAAAAATCAGGATGCAGGATTTGTTTGAAAGCCACTGATATCTATGGAAAGTACTAAAAGCACATAAGAGATGCAGATCCATTTTCAATGAAATTAAGTTTCTACAGAAACATCACTGTGGACAGATTTTTAGCTTTTTGAAAAACATTTAAAAAATTAAGCTGTCTGTAACCCTTTGTGAGATAAGTAATACCACCACAATGCTGAAGTTTTCAAAGCTCTTCTGGTTACTGGCTGCCGCTGCTGAATGCAGTGGGAGTTTTGCCATGGGTTGTGAGAGACTGTGGACTGTCCTTCAGCATAAGCTGGAGAGAAGAATGTAAATCTGCTGGAGCAATATTTGTGGAACATGGTGCTGATTTTAGTGATGGCTTTTTCCATACACCGAGCATGAGATCATGTACAGGGCTGTATTTACATGGTGATGTAATTTTACAGCAGAAGCTGGAAAAACAAGGAGGGTATATCATGTCCAGCCTGATTTATGCCAAGCTTTCCACAACTATGCAGCCTCCCTCCCATGTCATACATATCTTGGCAAGAAAAAAGTAAGAAGTGGGACAACCCTGCCCCCAATTTCTAGACAACCTTATGCTTTGGCTGCAAAATCAACTCGTAACTCAAAAGCAACCTCCGTCGGGCAGACAGTCCTTAAGTCAAACAGCATATGTGCTTAATTGAATGCTTACCAAATTACCTTTTGTTTTATACAAACGTCCTCCCAACAAAAGAGCAAACTAGGGACTGCCTAATGGATTTAGCAGGATGGCACTGTTCACATTGCGATCACAAAAGATATACTCAAATACAATTATTTTCCAACTAATGTTTTGCAGCACTGTGGTTTAGGAGCTGTTACACCCACTCATCTTTTGAGGTAGAATCTTACATTTTTTTCCTTAAAAGGCATGCCGTGCCATGCTTTTGGGATGTAAAGACTTGAAAAATAAACTTTTTGGCCTTGTTCACATACAGAATGCTCTTAATCACAATTAAACAAACTTAAAACAGAACTGTTTAATTAACCAATGCAATTACGTACACACAATTTGAAAAATCTGGTTTGTCTACAGTTGGTTTCTAACTAAGCAGGCACAGATCTCTCTATGAATAACATTTAACGTAAGATCATAACTATCATACCAGTTGACCTACATCCATTTTTGTGCTGATTTAAATAAAACTGATGCAGCTTCCGAACCTCTACTGCTTTCATAAAGATTTCTCTAAGAAGCTGAGTGAGTTACTATCTAGAAGCAACACTGAAATCCACCTATAAACCACATGTACAACTGTCACAATAATTTTTCCAGTGACAGTAAACTAGGATATAGCTTATAAAAAAAAACATACAAAATAGTGGCTGACCATGCATTAAAGGGACAACATGCACCTGTCACCTTTAGAATAGTACTCTGAGACACCTTTTTTCCTTCTATTGCATGTATCCTGCAGTACATAAACTTCCTTGCTAACTTGTGTCATAGATTGGTCTTCAAATGATACATAATTTTCTTCTCCTTATAGGTTGCCTTAGTCTCAAGTAAGCCAGGAGATGAATTTGGAGGAGCCAGGTCTCATATGCACATCTAGTGAGGCAGTCGCTGAGCAGCAAAGCAAAGTGTTCTGCGCTTAAAACGTGAGGCATCTCAGGTAATTTTTAGATGATTTTTAAATATGTTCAAATTGAAATATCACCTGATGGAACACCCCATTTAAAGCCAGTTGTACCATTTGCACCAGTTGAGAAGAATGTCCACCTTTTCTCTCATGTTTTTTTTTTTTTTCCTCAGGATGGTTGTCTAGCATAATGAACATCGACAACCTCTAGATCCAATGAATCATTAATGAAAAACGCTTTATGGGGCAGCTAATAAGGTCTTCTAATTGGTTGACTCTAACACCCCACAAATCATTTTCTGAACAATCCTGTTCAACGATCAGCCAAACGTGTGCACCCCAGAATCCTGTCACCATGCATGCTGCATGTAAAGGAGGCTGGAAGAAAGGTCTTTGTAGATTACCATCCCCATTCCCATATGCAGCCTCACGTAAATAACCTACTGGCAGTCCCCAGCCTCCAGAACTGTTCAATGCATTGCAAACAATTCTCTGGACATTCCCTTTACCTGTCAGATGTCCTCCAAAGCAGCAAAACAGATGTTATCGGGAGGACTGGGGTGTTGTTTCAGATGGTGATGGGTTGGTTTGGAGCACAGCTTTGGTCTATTTACAAGGTAAATGCTGATGCAATGAATGGGCATTTCTGGTTCTTGAACAGGGCAGGTCCCTCGTCATTCTTAAAGGATTTTCCTTGATTGTGCACAGAAAGAGAATTCCTGGTTTCTTCCCAGGATCTTGGGAGTCAGTAATTAGGAGACAAGTAAGACAGGAGTTAAAAAAAGAATAGCCCAACAGAAGTTTCTTTTCCTCCTCATCTCTGCCCCACGACATCCTACATGGCTGGAGTGCACTCAGAAGACAGGCATCCCAATGCCCAGCTGCCGGGCTTTCAGTGAGGGAACGTGCACTGAATCAGCTGAGACTAGGAACGAGCAGAGCCAGATTTTGCATGGCGGGACAGATAAATGATTGCTTTCTAAATCAGTTTCCTCAAGAACACTGTAGTGATCTGGGCACATTGGGGAACACGTCTATGCAACAAACAACGTAAATGCAACTTCAGAAGAAAGATGTAACTTTTTTTTCTGAAGAAGAGGCTAGAATTTCAGACTAGTTGAGTAACTTCAGAGCTGGTGAACAGCGGAGCAAACTTTTTTTCCCCCTAACTATTAGGAATTCATTGCATTCTTAAATGAATACGCACAGTAACACAGAAAGCCTGAACAGCTGGGAATGAGCACGTGATGAAGCAGAGCCTCAGAGTATGTTCTTCAGAGTGTTCTAGTACCTGGGCGCGTCTTACAGAAGAAGCCTCATACACATCCACAACGTGTCAGCCAGCAATGCCCCCATATGCAACGCTACAAGAAAAACAGTTCCATTTGTCAGCATTTTCTCAGACAACAAGGTAGAACTTCAGTTTGCGATGATGGTAAATGCAATTGAAAAAAGAGATGGATTATTTTGCATTCTTAACTTTTATTATAAACACACAGATTAAATATTAACATAGAAAAAACGAGACGTTACTAGTTAGGCCTTTATAAGGCTAAGTGTCCTAAAAATAGCCAACAAAGTCCATTTTACACAATATCCACTGAGCTGGCAATCGCTGTAGAGCCACTTTTGTGGTGACTGTATCCTCCAAAACACTGGAATATTCCCTGTCCTCTCTTTCAAACAGAACAGCATTCTGCATAAGGAAACAGTTTGCACTTTTGTTTACTGCTGTGCAGCCACGATGAATAAAAAAGATCCATGTATTCAAGTGAAGACACTCCAAGAACATCAGCTTAGTCCAATTCCCTTTTTAATTTTACCCAGCAGGCCAGGCTCATCCCAAGTAGCATAGCTGGATGGAAGCTGGCATTGCAAGTCCTGACCCAGTGGGCTTAGTGGGAGCTCTGCAAGGAGCATCTGTAAGAGCAAGAACCAATGTCTGTTCTCCAAGTAACATGCAAAAACTGTTTCAGTTCATTTATAAAAGCTGGTCAAAAAGCTGAGCTTGTAAGAGCCTAGAGAAGTCCTTTTGTTTTCTAATTTTGACAACACTAAATTTCACCAACAAAAGTCTAGACGGTTTAAGTTTAAAAAGCTTCATTTAACAACTGATGAAAAAACTAAGATTTTCTTTTTTTGTTTCTTTTTTTCCCCTTTTGCCTTTATTTGAAGTCAAAAAGGCTAAAATAAAGAAGCTTTGAGCTCTCTGCTTAAAAACAACATGCTTTCCTGTTACAGTGTTTTCTCTACCCCCCACTGTTCCTTTGCCTTCAAGCAGTGAGTGCTCTCACCACCACTCCAGTGCTTGTGTCAGATGTTTGAATGGGTTCCAAGTTATAAAAAAGATACTGTTATTCAGTGTCTATACAAACACATACTTGAGCAGCTCAGACAGCCAACACTAAATGTGTAAGCAATGGATTTAATGGAATACATTTTTGTTAAATCCAGTAGTTAATGCAGTGCAAAGAGGTCTTTGCTTTTAGAAGTATATATTATCTACTATATACATGGCATTTTTCCCCCTTAAAAATAACTATGAATAGACCACTGAAAATACGGGGACTAGTAGAAAAATAATCTTAGGATTTTATAGGAAAAATATCACTTCCAATAAAAATATGGTAATTTCTTCCTGCTGAAAACAAGTAACAAATATATACTTCCACACATAATATTTTCAGCATCCTGTACATGTAACAAATATTTATGCAGTAGTAGCCCATCATTTAAACAAAACCCAATTCCTTTACTGTTCTGCTTTTTAATTAGCATTAAAAAAGCACTTATCAGTAAATATTTGCTTACTCCTTAGTATGTTACTCTGGCTTTTAGTAAACTAAGCAAATGGTAGAAGATTGTTGATTAGATAGGAGTCATTTACTTATTAGAATTATATATAATAAAAATAATTTATTTAAACAACCTGGCCCTGATCCTAGACAGAGTTGATACCTCTTTGCATTATTCCACTCATTCCAACTAGCAGTCACCAAACAAAGCAAATCTGGAGGGCCCCACTTGAAAAGATCACAGTTAGTCAGAGAAACTTGTTTTTCAGTCCCTCTGTTTAAACTAGTGACAAGGATGGGGGAAAACCCAAGATACTGGCACACTGTGCAACCCTTCACCAGAGGCAAAGATTAGAAAAGCCGTTGGGTGCTGCATTATTGCATTGCTCCCTTTATGCCTCTTGCTACAGCCACAGCTTTCCCACTTGCTGAGGCACACATTACTCTGGTCAAATGGTGTCAAGACAGGTGCAGCCATAGAGGGTTAGAGGTACCTAGGATCAAGCCACTGATTTTGTCCCATGGACAGAATCTTGTCTTTACCAAAGACAAGATTACAGATGAGGATCAAGTCTGTGACTAGTGGAGATGATGCTGATTGAAGCTGTTTCTCTTCAAGACTGGGTTTCTATATTCTTGCAGAGCCTAAAAGGAGCAAATATTTATTTTTCCTGGTGGATTTTTTAATATTAAGTGAGTGCTCTTCCCATTTTCTAGGTCTTCCTCTTAATAATATTTAGGCAGTGTTTCTCTTCGTGAAACTTAATTTTTCCAGTTAACATGGAGGTGTGATTCAGCAGAGTCCTTCTGAACAACTTGTGTAGGCAATATTTTTCTTTAAATTTATACTATTTTAAAAAGCATAGCTTTGTAGAAAAATCAGTCCTGAGTTTCATCTCCAGTCTTCAAGATGAACCAAGGCTGTACCATTTAACAACAACCTTTTCAGGGTTAGCGATGGTATCTTCCCACTGCTCTACTGCTTCACTGTTAGTGCTATCAGAACTTATCCAGATCTGCAGCAAGAAATAAAAAGAGAAATCAAATTGAGTTTACCTGCTGTAACAGTGGCCCAGACTTTGTTAGATCCAAATAAATACCATGAAAGTGTAGAATGAGATGCAACATGTAGACTGTGACCAAAGTATTAGCAACAAATATAGTTCTGTTAAGACTAACATAATTTGGCTTTCGGCTGGGAACACAGGCAGTCTGTGTTTACATTTAGTCTCTAAACAAATATGAATTAGAGAACTCACTACACACTGATGTTTCCCTACTTAATAACATATTTTAAGTCAAGCATTCCTTGCTCCACTCAAATTGATGTGCTGGGGTCAAGGACCCATCAGGGCAGTGATGTCCCTTTAGACCATGCACTCAAACTCCAGTTGGCAGCAAGCCACCTGGCGCCCAGAGTTAGCTGTCCAGCATTTTCATGAGCATTTAAAATTGCACACTCCAACAGACGGGGCCAAACCTGCATTCCACAGAGGTTACTAACTTGCCTGTATCACACATAGTCACGCAGTAAGAGTCCATTTCTTCTCGGTATTCAATTAATGGATAGCGGCCCTTAAACAAGGAAATGAAGTACAAGTAGGAAGTTTTTCCCCTAAACAATATCACCAGCTCCCATTGCCAAAAGAATTCTGCTTATGTAAGTAGGTATCGTTATTTACGGGACTCTATTTCCTCCACTCTTCCAAGAATGAGTCCTTTTTAATACTTCTCAGAAACCTGCACCATGAAGTACATTTAGCCCACACTGCTGAGGCATGATTCCTCAAGAAGTGAGAATAATGCCTTCCAGAATACCACAGACAGCTGATGTTTCATCCACAGAGATTCAGCATACATCTTGCTCATGATTAAAGACATGCCCATAAATGCAGCCTAATCGAAGTGTTGTCTGTTTTAGAACAGCATCCAATTAAACATCATTCTCTGAAGAACCACGTTAATAGATCCAGCTATATTCATCTTTTTCCAGCTACCCAGCCAATTGCTTAAAGTACATTTTTCCCTGAGCCATATTTTATGTCTTCATGTGTTATGTGGCAATGTCTGCCTGCATGAGCTGAAACAACCTTTTCCAAATAATCTCTGAAGAGCAGAAGTAGCTCATTTCCTCCCCGTAAAAATAAGACCCATGATTAAATGAAACTCATCAGGTTGAGATGACCTCACATATTGCTTAGTGACTGCAAAATCATACCCGGTTAGTTTTGCCCCAAAATATCACAGCTAGCTAGCATACTTTTTTCTTTTTCTGTTCCAAATCCAATTCTACCAACAGAATCACAGAAGGACGGAACATGTCTGACATGATACTTGATAGAATAGAGGAAGGTCACGTAACTCTTACTGGCACATCATTCCTATACCAGACCAGCATCTCCTGCAAGTGAACGTGTGCAGCATGCACAAGATCCACTGCCAGGCTGGGAAGCTACCATTTTCTGCACCTAAGGATAGTGCAGTCCTTCAGCTGGTAAGGGACTTTACAGTTGGAGTCTCAAAATCAATTCCACATTATTCATTTATGTATATATTAAAATTCTACTAGTACATCTGCCTGGGTCAGGGAAAGCACTGTGCATTAAGAACAAATGTGTCTCATTATACTGAGGAAAAAAAAGGAGAGAAAGAAGGGACAGAATAATGGTCAGTTAGAACAATGAGGGAAAGAGGGCAGGGAGAATGAAAAGAGACCAGACTTTCAATTTTTATGGTGGTTAAATACATATGTTCACATAAATGCTTTCAAAGAGATACTACAGAAGTTCCAGCTGGAAAAAAAGGGGGGGGGAGGGGAGGAAGCATTCGTCTAATCATTTTGTTTGTTTGCATTATCACTTGATCATACACATTCAGAACATTATGCTGACTTCAGCACTGTTGTACCCAGAAGGGCAGTCTGCTATTGTAGCTGTTGACATTTCCCTTCTACACACTTGTTTGTGAGTGTACTAGTATTCTAAGCCAACACACCTTCTTTCTATAGAGGACATTGTAGATTGTGGAGATGGTGT